ACTAATATTATTATAAATATAAAATATAACAAAACAATCAAAGTGTGTGCAATAAAGATGATTATGTTTTTGGTATTTTTTCTATATCTAAATATCTAAAGATAATAGACTGTTTCAGGACAATAAATTGGGAAGAAGAATATTTTGTCGTACAAAATAAAAAGGGTTCAGCTACTTGTTTAATCTGTCGAGAAACTGTTATTCTTAAAAAATATAATATTTTTCGTCACTACACTACAAAATACGAATCATTTAATAATACTTATAGTCCCGGATCTTTGATGAGAAAAGAAAAATTAACTTTTTTCAAGAAGTCATTCCAACAACAACAATGTGTTATTTCAGTGGCGGTATCACAAGATGCAGCTGTCACAACTGCATCATACGAAATTTGTTACATACTCGGTAATCATATGAAACCATTTACTAGTGTTAAGTGAATCTAGTTACTAGATTCACTTTCCAACCGGAGAAGATACTGAAGGTGAAAATCGAAGCATTTTTTAGACTAATAATCGTGTACAGACACAAAAAAAATAAAAAAATAAATACACATTATAAAATTAATAAGAATCTTAAATCATAAATGTGTTTTTATTTATAGAATAATAACATATTACCAAATACTGCACATTAAGTTCCTAATCTATTTATGATTTCTTCAGAATCATTTTTGCTGAGAATATTTTTCTCGACATTCATTAATAACAATTAACAGAATCTCTTATACATTTTGAGCAATAGTATTTCATAAATAATTTTTGACAAATTTTAATTTAGAAAATGTACTTCTGCATTCTACTAGAGTGATTTATAAAGAACGAATACATTTATATTTTGCAAAGTAGTGGCCACGATATGTATTTGTGTATAAATTATATCAAGTACCAACACCTCAAAACAGCATGTAACACAATACTTGGCACTTGTACTATGCGCATAGCCCCAATACATAGGTAATATCATCATCTTTCTTGTGTCCTAAACCATACATAAAATAAAATAGAAGATAATTATTGATGATTTTATTTTGTATTGTTTATGTAAAATTGAATTACCATTTTCCAGTCCCTAAAATTGTGTGTAGTACGAAGCACCTTGTGTAGTACGAAATTTAAAAGTGTGTTATTAAAATAAACCCTTATAATATTGTGTATAATTTTAGAGCTCCACATTTCTTTTTATATTTAAATGGTTTTTTATCAAACTACATTTTAACTATTGTTTACATTCTACACATACACACAGTATAAGTATCTACTTACGCATTAAACAATATTTTGTTTTGTTACTAATTATTAGTTGTTATTATTATTCACACTTCAATTTCCATTGTTATTGAGAATAACTATTTTATAACACTGTTAACCGTCACTGTTAGTATTATTATTTATACACAAAATTAATTCTAACCAGACACTTGGAAAATATAGGTAGACATATATATTATAGTCACTGAGTGTTTGTATGTCTATACGGTCACTCTGTCACGGTGTATTAAGTAGGTACATAAGTATTTCCTTATAGTTTACCAGTTTAGTTTTTAGTAATAGTTTTTTTTTTATTTCTACGTTTCATACCACGAACTTAACAATGACTATATGTTTAATAAAAGTAAATGGTAAGTAGGTACCAACTACTGATGGCTAATTGAGGGCTCCAATATAGTTTCACCTACCTATCTTTAACAAACTTCTATTTTACAAACTTTATATAACAACGCAATTCTCATACTTGGGATAATTTAAATTTATATATATATTTTTATTTAGGTATTTATCAATATTATATACTATTATTCATATTTGTATACTAAAGAATATCACCGATATATGTATATTAACAACATTAAAGTAATTGATTGTAAATTTATACTATTAATAAAATTAATAAAGATTTTTTTTGTTTTTTTGATAACTTCAACTAATTCTAGTAAAAATATTGCTGAAAATGTAGCTATTAATGTTGAGTAAATTTGAGTAAATTAATGTATAGATTAATTAATAATAATTTAATTTTGTTCACAGTAATCAAATACCGTAGATCGAGGTGACTTTGATAAATTTTGTTAATTTTTTATTGTTGTTTTACTTGTAATTTCTTTAATACTTATGTCACAGATCTAAAAATAGTGTTGTTGCCTCAAGTTTGTTTTTACCAATTTCCTCAAATTGTAATTTAATTTTTTCAACTATTGGTTTTTTTAAAATTATATTTTGAAAATAGCTATCAAAGTTATAACGCCTTCGGGGTGACTTTGAAACCACTATTTTTTTAAATTTTAAATTAATGGAAAGATTATGAAACCTATCAATCAGTCTTTAAATTTACATTTTAAAGTAGGTATATAACATAATATAATATTTTTAAATTTTGAGTAGACTAACTCAGTCTTTAAATTTACATTTTAAAGTAGGTATATAACATAACATATTATTTATAAATTTAATTAGACTAACTCAGTCTTTAAAGTTACATTATAAAGTAGGTATAACATAACATAGGTAATACTTTTAAATTATTTTTAACAATTAATTAATGGAAACAAAACAAGTTGGTTATTAAAATTCTCTAACATCAGTTAGAGGCTGAGAAAATTTGTAATGATGTTTTTCTGTAAGACTTGGCATTTTGAGAACAGCTATTATATCCTCTATTCCAACAGAAAATACATCATTTATTTGTAATTTAAGGTTAGAGGAAAACCCCAATCACCACATTTGGTGACAGCAGCCAATAATAATTTCTCCTCTGCTTCATTCAGTATTGGTTGGCCTCCTGGTTTATTACCATGTAAACCATGATATCTATTGTAAAGTGCCCCATATGGTATATGATATTGCTTACTTGCAGCTAAAATTGACATTTCCCCATTCACTATTTTGTTTAGTACTTCTTCAATAATATCATCAGGCTGATTTCTATAGGATCTACTGCCCAACTTTCTTTTATAAACCCGAGCCACTATAAACAAGTTTTATTACATTTTAAAACGCATTATATAAATTATCAAACTCGCCCCAACCGATTATCAATTTCACCCCATCATATAATCCTTTATCATGCATACACAATAATTAATCAAACGTAAAAAACTCAGTGAAAATAACGTAATGACAATGTCTTCAAATTATATAAATAGAGTACACATTAATAAAATATGTGTTTACTTACTTTGCGCTTACAATTTGTTTCTGACGTTTTTTTTATTTTAGAAAAGATGTAATTTTTATTTGAACATAACGAACAGACTATTTTATCAAACAATTTCTTATCACTGTTAAAATGTTAACCGGTGTTTGGTATTTAATCACAAATTATAAAAACTGATTTATATCATACAGTGTAGCCACTATTAACCGTTTAATCAAAATAAAACGTGATTATCAAAGTCACATGTCATTATAAAAGTCGCCACATTTATTCATAAATTATAGGTACATATTGTTATTTAATTTATATTATGTGTTATTGATTGAAGATGTATAATTTGTGTTAGTTTTTAGAGGCTTAGAGCATTGATTTTGATTTAACCGATTTAAGATTATTCGTGTAGTACGAAAAATTGAATATTTTAGGAACTGCCATTTTCAGAATCATTACCATCATATTAGTAACTTGATTGTTTAGCTTATCGTACACACAAGCAGGGTTTTAAGACATGAATTAAAAAATTTGTTTTAAACGTTTTGTTCATTGTTTAAAACGAATAATTCGTATGTTTAAAACAGTGTAAAATCCAAGTGAATATTGTGTATTTTTGGTTTATTATTAATAATAAATAATAATAGATATTCTTCAGAAAAAAAGTTGAAGTATTAAATAATTATACCTATTACCATGCTACAATTTAATTTAATTTTTAATTTATTGAATAAATTACCAAATTTAAAATGTTTTTACTTAGGTATTAGTTAATATATACATACCTAATTTAATGTCCATATAAAACATCCATTCAGAAAATATTTAAAATAAATTTAAAATAGGTACTTTTAAGATTTAAGTACCTAATAAATATACAGTGAAACATATACTAGTTGGCATACATGTAAATTACGTACATATTAAACCAAAATCAGTTATTTTAAATATAGGTACTGTTTAAAACTCAAACAATTATATTATTTATATTAATCGTTAAACCTCATTTGTTTTAAACATTGGGTAAATTATTGGTTTTCTGGTTAGGTAAAGTGAAGTCGAGCCGGGGCGTAGACATCATTTTTTAAAGGGAGAGATGTTTGTTTATTTTGTTTCATAAATTCTAAGACATCTGTTAAATGTTTAAATGCATACATTATTTTTCTTAATTTATTTATTACAAATTTTATGCGGCCATTCCATTAAATAAAATGTATATAATAAATTTTATTATATACATTTTATGATACATTTCTATACTTAAATATTTACAGTTTAACTATTTTTACAAAGGTTTGGCTTTACATACATTTTGATTTAAACACACATTCTCATGTACCTATAAATCGACTTGTTTTATTTGGTTGATTCGAATTTATAGAGATATTTTTGAAAGGTGTACTTTCTCCTTTGTTTTGTTTAAGCTTTTTTTTGCAGTCTCATATATTCTATTTTTATAGTTTTTTTTATTAAACTCCTTTCTTCATCTTATTTATTTTTAAAGTTCAAAATGTCAAAAAGACCACCGGGTTCCTATTTCCGAAACAAAAGAAGCAAAAGAAGCAGAAGCCAAAGAACTAGCAACACAATGGGAGAAATCTAAAAGTAAATGGTTCAACGTTAAAAACGAAATCAATTCATTAGAAGATGGGGCTTCTGAAATTCAAAAAATAAATAAAAGTATTCAAATTGAAATTGCTAGTGGTTGTAGTCAAGTTGAACGAACATCAAATATCAGTGAATTGAGTTTCCAAGGAATACCTGTTGAGTTGGATGAAAATATTTTAGTCGATCATGATTTATCACATGGTATAGTTTAAAAACAATCACTTGTTGTTGAAGAAATAAATGCAAACATGATTGAAGGAACGTCAAATATCAATGAATTTAGTTTTCAAGAAATACCTGTAGAAACTGTAGAGTTGGATGAAAATATTTTAGTTGATCATGATTTATCGCATAATATAGTTGAGAAACAATCACTTGTTGATGAAGAAATAAATGTGTTAAAACCTCCTGAAATAATATTTAATAATCCACAATCGTGGCCAACCATAAATGACAAGTTAAGATGCATACTTGTTCAACATGGCCCAGATCGTGGAAAAATGGAACATAAGCCTTTTAAAAACCATTGGTTTTACAAAAAATTACCTAATGGAGAAAGTGTTGAAAGATCATGGATGATGTATTCTCAACCAAATGACGCGATTTTTTGCTTTTGTTGTTTATTATTTGGTAAACAATTTACTGCTTTAAGTGATCCCAAAAGAGGTTTTTCGTGTTGGAAAAAAATGGAGCGCTTAAAAGAACATGAAGATTCTCAAGACCACATAAAACATTTTTTAGAATGGAAAATGCTTGAAAATAAAGTAATGAAAGGAGGGGGTATTGATGACTCCTTACAGAAAGAAATAAAATCAGAACAAGAAAAATGGCGACATGTTTTGAAAATAATATTAGATGTGTTACTTTATTGTGCAAATAATAATCTAGCCTTAAGAGGAAATTCTGAAGAAATAGGTAATCCAGCAGCGGGACATTTTTTAAATCTCATTAGCTTAATAAGTAAATCTGATTTAGTATTAAGGCAACATATTGAATCCCATAAGAAAGGATCTGTATCTTATTTTTCTCATCACATTCAAGATGAATTTATTTATTTATTATCTAAAAAGGTCAGAGAAAAAATAATAAATCAAATCAAGTCTGCAAAATATTTTACTATTATGTTCGATTGCACACCTGATGTTTCCAAAAGGGAACAAATGAGTCAAGTTATCCGATATGTACATATTTCTAATGGGAAAGTTTGTATAGAAGAAAGTTTTTTAGGATTTATTTTATCACATGAAAAAACTGGAGAAGGCTTAGCAAGTGAAATATTAACTCAGTTATCTGATGATGATTTAAATATACAAAACTGCAGAGGCCAAGCTTACGATAATGGAGCAAATATGGCAGGGAAATATAAAGGTGTGCAAGCAAAAATTATGGAAAAAAATAGTTTAGCTACTTTCATACCATGTACTGCTCATAGTTTAAATTTGGCTGGTGTCAACGCTGCATCATCAAATGTTCAAATAAAAAACTTTTTTGGCAAGATTCAACAATTATTCAATTTTTTTTCGGGTTCACCTTCTCGTTGGGAAGAATTGAAATCATTGAAACTCACACTTAAACCATTTTCTGATACAAGATGGTCAAAATTAATTTCAAACGAATTAAGCTGTTAATAGGTTAGGTGACATGGTCATTAATCATTATGTTTAGGTACCTATCTACGGCGATTTTCTTTGAAAACAGACGATTTAGATAATGTTCTTCTAACTTTATCCCATAGATAAAAGATTATAATCATTTATCCTTTAAGTTATAGGTATTTATTACTATAGTGTTAAGTACCTACTTAGGTATAAATATACCTATGTGATATATATTATATATGTAATACGCGAGATATGAAATACCGAAAGAATATCGAAAATCGTAGATATATCATATATTTACAACCGTGGTAGAAACCCAGATCACCATCGACAAAGGACCAGTGGCATGTTGAACTACTTTTACTTAAGGAGCGAAGATTTTTACATACCACCCACCCACCCATTTATTAAATACCCCCACATACCAAAACCCCTCGCTTCGCTCGCATTGTCACTATAAAAACATAATGAACTATTCATTTGGATTATTGGCCCTCCCTTTATACTTCATCAATATTTAAATTCTAAATAGTATATAAAAAGTAGTTTTTAAATTTTTTTTTTTGATGATTTATTAAACAGTTTTCATCAATGTTACAGCTGATGTAATTGGTAAACACAAATCATTTTATTTTCATATTTAATAATGACAATTGCTTCATTATACTTTATTATAATATTATATTATAATCAACTCAAGTCTCAATATTTCTTTAACATTAATTAAAACAAACTATTAGTTAACTAAAACTTAATTCTTTGAATACTCATTGTTCAAGTACAATATATACATATTAATATATTACCATACATATTAATATATAACTATAGGTATAAACATATTTCTTAATAATTAAATAATAATTTATACTTTTTAACATGATATAATTTTTCACTTATATAATAACGCTTCTTGTAGTAGTTTAGAGGTATTGGCATATTTGTTTATTGCTTCATCAAGGTTAATTTTTACATCTTTTTCACATGATAAGAGCATCAAACTTTCGAGACGGTTTTGTACCATTGTCGAACGAATTCTAGTCTTAATCAATTTTAATTTAGAAAAAGTCCTTTCACTACTTACTGATGTAGCTGGTATGGTACACAAAAATTTATATGCCATGTACATGTTAGGAAATGCTGATATCAAGTTAAATGTATTTAATAACTTTAACACATCTAAAACTGTCATTTTAGTTTTAGTTTCTTCACTATTGTTTTCATCTGAATCAACAATTGTATCCGTATCTGATTCACTTACTATTACATTTTCATGCAATTTTTCAATTTCTACGTTTGATTTTAATTTAAGGAAACTGTATGCAAAAGTGGAATACTTAAATTTTAATTGATCAATTTGTAAATTTGGAATCCACTTATCAAGATACACAAAATTATCTTCAGGTATAGGACATCCTTTACTTGTAGAAATGAGTCGATCGACTGAAAGAAGGGACAAGTCGGATAAAATTTCCCGTGAGCCTTCAAATCGGCTCGTTATAGATGTATATATTTGATCCAAGACAGTGAAATAAACTTGTATTTTAAAATTATCCTTGGCATTTGATACTACTTCATCATTCGTTTTTTCTCCAGCCATTATTTTCCGCCTCTGAACCCGTTTTTCTGGAAACCATACTTCTTCCAGTTCATTTTCCAGAGAAAACATTTTTGCATCAGCCAATAATACATCTAAATGTAGATCCTTTCTTAACTCTGACAGTTTCCTAGCACAGTTATCAACCATAGTTAATGCAGTGATGAAATCCAATGATGGTGATTGTAAATATATGGATAGTGGATATGTGTGCTCAAAGATATTTTTCATTAATAACAAATGTGTAACAAACTTGAATGAAGAAATAGTAGACACTAAATTTGTTGCCATTGAAGATGTATCACGTTCAGTTGAGTTTGATAACTCTTGTAATGTATTAGTGAGTGCTTTATATTTGTCAAATATAACTGCCAAAGCATGGCCATGAGATGTCCAACGTGTAGAAGAAAAATTTTTCATTCTACAAACTCTTTTTTTTGGATAACATATTTTTTGTTGGTTTAAAAATATTGCAGTACGTTTTCTTGCTCTTAAAAAAGCAATTAATGATTGCAAATCTCCGAAAAAAATTCTCTTAGTCTTACTTGTCAAATGAGACTTATACTATATACCATAATTAGGTAGGTAGATAATTGCAGAAAAATAATTATTCTAAATTGTATTTGACTATTGTTATTTTTTTTTATTGCCAAATTAAAAAAAAAATTTACCTTTATTTGGTAGAGGTGGGTGCACTTTATCATCAATGGTCCTTTTTTTTCATATAAGAAAATATGTTAGATACCGTTTTCGAACTTTTTAATTTTGCAACATTGCATGCAGTTACATGGCGTTTCCAATCTGTGTCATTAATTTTCTGTCTTTTTCTTCCGCATAAACACTCAATATTGTTTTCTGACATTATTTTAAATTGTTAATTAAGTTGAATATTTAATTAATTGAACTGAACAAAAAATGACGAAAAATACTTCAACACTATATTACTATAATATTACACCTACCGCATAACTGTGTGTAGCATATTATTACAAATTTACAAATACAGACGGTGGCGGAGTCGCGGTTGATCTTTAGTAGTTTAGTACTTATTATCAGTAGGTTGTAGCAAGCAGCCGCGGTCGAAAGCGTTGTTGACATAATAATGTCCAAGAATACTCCATTACAATTTAAGGGCGAAGTCCAGTGAATTATTTTGATAACAAATACAAGTAGGGATTCCCACTTTCATATATTTTAAAAATAGAACTGCTAACTGGATTGAACGTCTGATAACATTTTGAATTTTGATACATTACACACCCACAGATATGATATCAGATAATTGTGATTACACATGGAATGTAGATAACGAAATGGTTTCGTACGTATTACCACAGAACAATATAGAATAGACACTCGATCAGCTGTGAGGGTTTACGTATCCCTACGGTATGATGTATTGGACTATAAAAGTTGTACCGTATCCGTAATCTGATAGAACGTTAGCAACGTGTATCCCTCTTTGTTACGGAATTTTTATAAACGATTTTATACGAATTTTCATATTTTAAGTATATCAATATTAAATTTTGGTAAAATGAATAAGGATTTTGTTTTAATATAAATTAAAAGCTATAATGTAATTTTACATTGGTTTATTGTTAATGAAATAATATATTGTATTATTATTCTGTGGACTGATAATATTGATATGATTTATTTAAATAATAACATATGCCACGCCCCCTTAGAGACTGTGCTCAAGGCCACAGTCACCCGATTTTTCCAATACACAGAGTGTCTATACCCTGGTATTACCGTACTACGGTCTACGGCTGTCTTTGTTATAGAGTAAAACAGTATGCTACGTAGTACGTATATTGTACTATTATAAGTTAAGACATGTAGTATATTTATGATCACAAAATTACAATTCTATTCTTCGTATAATAGAAGTATACCCACAACCCACCTAATCATTAACCACCCACCCTTAAAATATTGATGGAGCGGCCTCTCCTTAAAAACATTGTCAACACGCCACTGCATAAGGACACAAAACACTCTGATGCAACACTGAATTTCGCGAAATTAAATTCAGCGAACATCGTGTTGATTGCAAATGAACAAGGGGCTCGAATGCCAATGCTCATTGCTCAATCGTCGATCGACTATTATACAGCATGACAAATTAAATATTAATATTAATTTTTCATGTTATATACAGCTCATAATTCATGAAGTTCATATTTTAATCATTACGAATTAAAATAGGTTACCAGTGTTAATGATCATAATATAATATCCATCATATTATTGTTAATGCTCCCACAGTTTTACTCAAACGTACAGTGTTTAAGAATTATTATTTAGAGACAAGATTATATTACAGGCTACAGACATCAAACGGTAAGTTTAAATATTTATCATTTATATTATAAAATTAAATTATTTTTATATAGTTAAATTTTTCACACTTATTCTTACATAATTAATCAACTAAATACATAATACGAATATGCCTATTATACCTACATGTCTACGTTTATTAGCATGGCAATGCATATTATCTAAACATTTGAAACATTTTGAATATAAAAGAGTAGGTAAATAGTAATATTAATTTTATTATTATCATCATACAGACTATAGAAATAGGAGGTACTTACAGTAAATTGTCTTAATATTTAGGGAATTATCCAAGATTTTTATTGGGGTGGGGGCTGGTGTAACTAATAGATTCGTTTTTAATCTAGCTGTGCCAGAAAAATATATTAGAAGAACAATATTAGCAAATTAATATGTAGGTATGTATTTGTAGAATATATTGTATAATTTATATACTATCTTAGTCTCTTCCAATTGTATCTGTCTTTAAATTATTTTAAAGTTAAAGTGAACTCAAATCACGGGATTATCTCTCATTTTGTCCTGTCTAAAAAGGATGTCAGGCTCACCTTATACCTATGAAATTTACGTTCAGCAGAACCAATTGTGCATTGTTACTTTTAGTATTGGATCTGTTAGTATTGTAATCTATCTATTATCAAACAAATTATAACATTGCCTGTGTCGTTATATTTTTTTTTTTAATACTTTAATGCGTAGTAAGACGTAAGTTATGAGCGTGTAAGAGCCAATGAGCATAATTTAAAATTAGTTAAAACTTAAGAATCACATACAAATAAAATATTTAAAAAAAAAACAGTGACAGGTAATGTTCTTAAGTTAGAGTTTGATAATAAGTAAATTCATTCTAATACTAAAAGCAACAACAAAAAATTGGTCTGCTGAACGTAAATTTGCTATGTTGTGCGTGGGTCAGAGAGAGAAAACAAATAGTGCGCTGGCGCCTGCCAAATACATACTTAAAACTAGGTACTACTAATTATGCAAAAAATCATTATAATTGTTACTCAACATGGTTTTTTTTATATTTATATTTTTTATAGTAGAATATATAATAATATATTGTGATGAAAATTACTTA